AGCAATCTGCCTAGTTTAGCGGTCACGGTGTTATTTCTGTACTTAGCTTGTTGTGCGCCATGTAAACATGTAAACCAGCTTGTTTACGTGTTATTCTTCGTCGCGCATGCGGACAGAACGGCGGTTACCATAGCTACGGGCATCTCTATCTGAAGCGCACTCAGTTTTTCTCCAAGGAAGACGGTGGATACGCCCAGCTCTTCGCTACACCACTCTGTGTTGGAGAAGGTTTGACATGAAAAACGTTGTGATGGATGTCTGCCTGCCCTTCTGATGGTGTTATCCAACAAGGAACGGCCCGACCTCTACGCCTGTCCTTTGCCGAGCGGAACCATCTTCCAGAGACTGGCTTTTTCTGTTTTTAGTGAATGTGGTTATATTGACACTCATTTGAATGTATGTTGGTGGATACCAAAGCACCTTCGAGTCCACTGCACGTGAGAAAAGCCACAACAGGCGGGGCGTTTGTATATACAACTGAGAGAGGCTTTGGCCGAACCATTCTTGTGTCTGTAGGCTTGAAGGTTCCACTACTGATGTGCAGGTAGCGTACTAACTGAAACACTGCGTCGTCTGCCAGATAGGTGAGAGTTTCGGTTGTGCCGGATGGACGCATCAGCGTGCATGAGCGGTGACAGTAGTACGAGCCAGCTAGGTATAACCTTTAGAGTGCGGGGAAAACTCTGTAGCGGTGCAAAAGGTAGGCCTATTGCCCCAGAAACCCCTAAGACTTTTCAGATGACAGTAAGTGGCGTGAGACACAGAAACGCGTCTTCCCGGTTCCTCGAGGCAGACGGGCCAGTTTCCTTCATCCAAATTTTACCGATTTTCAACTGCGTTTGGCCGCTTAACTTTGTATATAACCAACATATTTTTTTTGGTTAATCTGAAACTTTAGACTCTCTTCTACAGTTTCTAGACGTTCGGACCTCAAAATAGAGTAAGCATGGCCGCTCAAAAAAGGTTTAGACCCACACGGATTTTGAAATTTCATTCAAAATGTACACGGTTCAATGGGGAACGCATGCGGTGCGGGGAGATTGTAGTTGGCCGAAAGACTAGCTGCTCCACGGTGAATATTTTGTGCTTGGGCGGTGGAGGAGTCGTCGTTCTTGACTTCTAGACGTTCGGACCTCTCCGGAGTTGGTAGACCATCAAGCAACGCTGCAAGAAAGTTTATGTTCCCATTGAACTCCATACATTTCACCCGCGCGGATTTTTTTACATTCCAGAGGCATGTTTTCTTGTAATGTCCGCGGATTGCTGGTAACGGTGTGTTGCGTTGTTGTGACTGACATTATCATCGTAAATAACAGCGGCACCGGCATGAGGCTTGTGGTTTCCTTGCAGGTTGTAACTGCAGGGCGGCTGGCGAAGGGACGGTTGACCAGAGTGGGAAATACTTATTGGCGAGCGGGAGCGAGCCAACCTAGTCGTTCGTTCAAGCGCGTTCGTCGTTCGTCGTGTAAGTGCGCACGCGCGGCTTTGTACGCGCGCTTCTGCCTGCTCCTTCTGCCTGCTCCTTTACCATTGTTCACTTTGTCGTGCTTCTATCTTTCCACATGCTCTCATATTTTTTGTACATTGTTTGCTGCATTACTTTCGCATTCTCATTCTCATCGCGCCCCAGGCCAGATGAGGTTGGACACGTACACGGTGACGTGAAGTTGCGAAGAACCACGTAGAATGTACGGCAAATCGGGCGTTTAGCGTCGACCTCTTCAGTTTATGGCCTAGTTTTGTAGTGCAAAAGTTGACGGATGCAGAAAGGATGGAAAAGAAGTAGTCTGCTGAGCATCTTCAGGTGTGTGTATATATAGCTACTGAGTGGAGCATTGTTATGGAGCCATACACATTTTGTGCGCATGCGCCGAAGAGCCTTTGCGCACGTTTCGCGTTCGCATGATCCTCTCTCTCTGTACTACAGACTGTAGCTATTTGCACGGAGGCGAGGGTTTGCAAAATGTTAATTAACGACCACAAAACTGAAGTAGTCGGGATCAAATATGAGTTTGGTCTCATTTGCCCACTCATACAGTAGACCAATGGAGTGGCCATCTCCGAGAACAGCCAGAGAACTATAGGCAGATGACCCCGAATGAACTACAGCTTGAGCAGTCCATGTTGTACCGTTATCAGAGCTAGTAAAGATGCTCATGTTGTATCTCAGCGGTGTGGGGAAGGGCACAGCAGGTCCTGAGTAATACAGGACGCCAGTGTCCGGGTGTCTTATTGTGCTTCCTTCGCAACCTTCCAGAGGTTGAGGCAGGCCTTTGGGGACAAAGTGTGGACCAAAAGTCAGTCCGCCGTCCGTGCTATAAGCTCCGAGTCGATCAGTGAGAAATGTCCTGGCGTTGATAAAGATGGTGTTACCGCCAAGAGCGACTGCTTGGTTCTCACTAGGGAACTGTAGGTCCCAATCTGGAAGTGTTCCTCCAATGTACCACGATTCTCCGCTGTCGTCATCGCTGATCATCATGTGCACCTCTGAGAAGTCTCCATCCAGTCGCAGTGGCTCGTACGAGTGGTAGCATGGGACTACAATACGCTTTGACTCCAGTTGAATGCTTCCCGGCGGGCCAGTGGCCACCCTACATAGTATTTAGAGCAGATTTATTATGTACAGTGAAACCTCTGAATAAGGACACCTTGGAGATGGACTTATGTTCAATGTACATCATAGGTGCGAATGAGTGGCTCAAGGTATATATGTGGCACCCATATAACTATGGTGAAACTTATGGCCTCCTTTATTAATTCAGAGATGTCCCTGAAGTATTGGCATGGCAGAACCACAGTGCCCTTGTTGACCTTATTTAGAGGGTCATTTTGACTTCACAAAGAGTGAGTAAAGTAAAGCTGTGTATACTGGTATCAAGGGGATTGATCAACCTGCCAATTCTTGATTGGTGATTAGACTTTAGACCTGCATGTGGACATGTACACACAGACAGTTGAACAGGTCAACCTGTCTATATATTCTGTATGACCAACATTATGCTCACCAAGACCACGAAGGGTGGACGACATCGGATACATTGACAGGCTGGCTCCACGAAACGCCGTCGTCATCGCTGTATGTTAGCAACACCTGTAGATTGTTCCTACAGAACGGCATCAGTATGCGATGCGTGTCCCTCAGAACAACCGGTGCCGCGTTCCCAATCACGTTATTCTCTCCACTCTCGGCGGAAGAGTTGCTGTAGAGAATTGTCAGTGGACCCCAAGTTTTTCCGCCATCCGTCGAGCGTTTGTAGATGAGATCAGTCCACGTGAAGTCAGAGCAGGAAATCATGCGACCTTCACCAAATGCAATGAGTGTTCCCTCTGCTGTGGCGACTAGGGAGGGTATCTTTATGCAGTAGTACCCACCCTCGCCTCTTTTGAACACAACCGTTTGGTTGGAGAGCGAAACAACACTGCGTTGTTGTGGTGGTGCAGATTGTGGTAGACTGTGTGACAATTCTGCAATCATTGCTAACCACAGGCAGACAGACAAGAAGTGGTACATGGTGATATTATACCTGTGGAGCAAAACTCAAGTTTGGCTTTTCTGCATGGAATTTGTATATTAGCAGGAGCACAAACTTCCTTCAGACTACTTAGCCATTATTATGTTCAACCGACTAATACTCACCGTTGATGTGGGGAGAGATAGAGAAAGTTAGGCCTAGACTCCTTGAGTAACCCCGCCCCGAATTCTTGCAAACGCGCGTGGCGAGGCGCACAAAATAGCGCTTTTGTTCCATAGATTTGCACATAGCAGAGAGAGAGAAGGGACTATATACGTAACGAGTTGCTAAGTCAGCAAACTCTCACTCCGAACAAAAGCCTTAGGCCTACTGAATCGAAGTCAAGCAAGGATCGAACAAGTTTTGAAGTTGAATAGGTGTATCTCTAAAAGCATTCATGGGAAAGCCGATGGTCCCCTGTGAACCCATTTGGTCCTAGCGAGTTACAGTGAGAAATACTAGAAGCTTCGTGGCACTCATCATTGGCAACTCAGCAGACTCTACTCTACCTCTTTTCCATCCTTTCTGCATCCGTAAACTTTTGCACAGCACTAAAGTGAACCCTCGGCGAACTGGGCATGCGCGATACCTCTAAATTGATGGGCCGGCCTATTGTCTGCGTTGACCCGTGATCTCCCGCTAGTAGCTCGCGGAGAGTCTGGCACGGGCTAGCTACAGTAGTAGATAGCATGCATGCGGGATCTTACATCGCCATTTAAAAAATCAAGCCAGTGTAGCGCTGAACCCGTTGGTGTCGCTACTTTACCTGTTTGTTGCGCGTGGTCCGTGGACGGACAGAGACGGACAAACTAACCCTCGCTGCGCATGCGCGCCGAGGGTTAACTAGGCCAGAGGTCGACGCTGCTAGCTAAACGCCGTATATACATTCTACGTAGTTCTTCGTAACCTCACGTCACCGTGTCCAACCTCCTCTGGCCTGGGGCGCGATGACCGGACGCGGCGCGAACGCCCTACCGTGCATGGACGGAACATGCATAAAATAATTGGTGATTAGCAAGCTATGTGCATGAAAATTTCAGGCAGGAATTCTTTGGGGGGCGGAGGACGGAGCCTGGGTTTCTGCCTTCTGTTGCAAACTTTGCCCGCTACGCTCACAGCTCACGATTCCCGCGACTCCTCAAATGTAACAACGGAAATATTCCTAGCTAGCTAGCTAATAACTATGTGTGTAGCGGAACGAATCGCTTCTCTTGTCGAGACCTCTCGCTCCCCTCCTGCTGCTAACGTCTCTCCACTGCATCACCAGTCCCACCACCGAAACTGCTATCACACTACAAATTAGCAGCACAACTGCAATCACGACGGACGCGACTGCGAAACCCAGGTCTCTGTAACCATCCGGGGCCGCTTCTGTCGCGTCTTTGTCTGTAGGGTGTTGAGTCTCGTATACATCGATGAAGGGAGACGCGAACTTTAGCGGAGAGGGTGTGGTGGCGATGTGAATAGTAGAGTCGTGAGATGGAGCCGTAGACAGGACTGCGGTGCCAACTATGGTCGCATTGATCGAAGAAGCTTCCACGATGTAGGAACTTCGGATGTGGGATCGTATTGTAGTAGATTCCTTGTGTACTATTGCAGTAGATTCCGTCTCCATTTCAACAATCGGGCTGTTTGAAATTGTGGTAGTAGTACTTGGGGACGGAAGTAGAGTTATCATGATGGTACTTCTTAGGCTTGGAAGAGATGACCTTTGTGAAACTTGTGTGGCGAGTTGTTTAGTTGCAGTAGTAGCTGAAGGGACTCTTGCAGTTCTTGAAGTCTCTAAACTGCGTGTGACCATAGACGAAAAATGTGTAGTAAAAAACTGAGACATGGAGGGGGCTGTGATATAAGTTTTTGTAGACGTCTCATCTTGCTGAGGGTACACTGATGTAGGGGATGATGGTGCAGGTAGAGGTGGAGTGCTTTGAACAATTTGAGAAGACTCGGTGAGAATAATCCTTTCGTATTCTTGGCTGGAAGTAGCGTCAATTGTAGGTCCATCTACTGCAGTGCTTCTTGGAATATCATAGAGGAACACTGTGGTTATTCCCTGACAGGTGACCATAGCAACACAGCCACACAAGACAAACAAACCTGCAAAAGAGTTGCACACTATATTATATAGGCAGGCATGAATTCGTGAAGTTAGCAGAGCCTTACTCACATCTATAGGGCAGCATCTCTACTATAGCCAAAAACCACTCACTCTAGTACTGGACTGCAGCCCAGGAGACTGTATTTAAGTACACTCACACTAGCTGTGGATGCCAGAACATTGCTGCCAATGTTTTCTCACAGGACCTCCCTCGGTTTTGTACACACAGTGGCGTAATACTTGTGAAACAAGCGAAACCACAACACGAAAGAGTTCTCAGAAAAGACATGGAGACATGTGTATAAACATGGGCCCAATTCAGATGTGTGATAAACAAACATTGTTGTGGGAAATGTTAACACACCTGTATCAAACCACGATAGCTGTATGTTATGCATAATGCAAGCTATCCGTCTGACGCTTACACACTTAATACTGTACATTGCCGTGACATCTTCATTATGTAATGAAAATTTCAATGCATATACATATACACACAATATGTGAAATGAAATGATTTGCTACAGAAACGAAATACAACATACTTTATATTATTATGACGACGATAAATAGGTGATGATACAGAGAGTACGTTCTCTTAGTAAAAGTGGACACAGTGCAACAAAGTTCTCCCGTTTTCTTCCTCAAAGTCGTGAATGATTCCCTCCATGTCGTCTTCAAGATCTTCAACATGCTTCATCTGTGGCGATCAGAAAAAGGGAGGAGACGTTTGATAATATCAACAGTAGCTACACCAGGGAAGGGGGAAGACCGGCGTTATTCTTGGAGTTGAAGTTTAGTATAACAACGTGGGTTATATAGTTCTCCTCTTTCTGGCTGCAAAGTCGGTTTAAATTTCTTACCATGTTGCAGAGATTGAGGACAAGAAAAGCACCCAGAGTTGCTTCTTCGTGATTGTCCTTGATGTCAATGTTTAATACGTGGACAGGTCTGAATGTTCTCGAGCCAATCGACTCCAATCCTGCACACAAAACAAAAGATAAACTGCCTTTGAAGACCTTCTAGCAACAGTGCTGTATACATGCCATTGTCTACAATAGACAATGCAATACAGAGGCGCCACACTATATAAGATGCCTTTTCAGTTAATGGTTAATGTTGTAGTTGCTCTACACGAAAGTATGCTCACTTTCAACAACAGCATCATATATCCTCTCCTCAGTGGTAAAGACAACATCAAAATGTTTTTCAGTGTCTTGGAAGCGCTCGGGTTTGGCTTTGATCCTCCTGTTTCTGTCCAGCATGTGCAGTATGCCGTTCTGTGTGTATCTAGCCAACTGTAGTCAAGGATCTTATGCTTTCCAATGAGGGCAAAGGTTACTGATTGTGTTTGGTCATAGTTTGCGTACAAGGGTTGTACTAGCAGGCCAGAAAGGGTATAGCTACCCAAATTGAGCTTAGTTTTGGGGGCGGTGTAGCCTTTTATCTGGGCTTGTTTTGGCCAGAAGATTGGCCATGAATTCAATGTACAGTGCATGTCTGTGTATGGGTATTATACAGTGTTGGCACTGATGTATAATATACAGCTTCCCAGTTTGATGTGTGCATATGCTGGATGTGCGATTGCAAAGGTTTTGCATGGGTATAAAATTGTGGTGTCGAAGTTCCAAACGCAGGTGGGAACCTTTTTAGCAACCACACCAGTTACTTTACAAATGCTATATACACGATGTCGTGAAGCACATTTGTGAACGTATGAAGCTTTCGGATGAAATTGTCGGCAAATTTGTAGAAGAAAAAACTTCACCGACTGTACCGAAATCACATAATAACCTCCAGCTTTTAGAATGCCAGTTCAGACCGAAGTTTGCCTACCTTGAATTTCTTGGTTGGCTTGTCCATTGACAGCTACGGTTTGTCCTACATGCTCAAAAACTAAAAGCAGAGGCTGTTCATTGACAGCCTTACAGCCTGTGCGTAATCTACCACACTAAAATAGCTAAAATAGGCCAGTTGGAGAGCAAAACTTGTGGTGTGAGTTGACCACTCAGCAACTGGTTTTACCTACAAGGGAAAGAAAAAACTATGCAAGTTAAAAGCAATGGCCTGCAGCAAGCCAAACTGGCTCACTACCTCAGACACCCAACTCCTATACCACTGTCCACAATGGGGTCTCATTTATAAACGGATACAGATTGGGGTCTTTTTTCAGGAGATCCTGATACATGTACTCGTACGTGGTGCCAAACTCGTAGACGTTTGGTTGCTCGGAGGCCGGCCCGGGAAGCTTGACGACGGAACCCGTACCATACGACTGCACGTCGAACCCCTTCTTGCTGCAAAGATCGAGGCACATTATTCCAATTAGCGCACACAACAATTCACGTAACCGTGCAAACATTACGTCATTGCGTAAAGTTGACTGACTAGCCTACTGAATAGCTACCACGCCTCACCACACATAGGGGTCTTTAGAAGAACCATTACCTAAGCAAGTTATGCGCCTCCATACTTCTGTTCTGGTTGGAAGAGCACACGACTGCTATCTTCAACTTTGCGCTCATCTCCATCGATCGCTCACGCACACTGAGAATAGTCTGTACACAGAATATGTACACGTATAGAAACCCTCTACACCCAGTAGAGAGTAGTCCTTTCTCAGTGGCTACGGCCAAACTCCTCGAACTTGTACGCCCCTGATCCGGCAAGTGGTGTCTCGCCCCTATAAAACGCTAATCTGCCCAGACTTCCGGCTCAGATTGTATCCAGAAAGAGACTTTCAGCAGCCGGATATGTGTTAGCGTCGTCAGGGATCTTTTCACCGCCTCTACAGAAGAGAGAAGAAGTCCTGTTTCTTGTGCGTTGTTTTTCCTGCGTCAAGCTAGCTTTGCGGTCAGCAGTTCTAATTATCCGAAATTTAGCACGTGATTATTGTAAAATCGTAATAGGCCTACTCGTTCTTTTTTGTGTGAACCCGCGCCGCCCTTTATACTCGGGCTGTTTTACGACGGACCTGACTCGGACAGGAGAGTTCTCACTCGTCTTGGGGTACACTGGAGCACTGGAGAGTGTTGACCTACAATTGTAACTAGCGGGAACGAAATTTGAAAGCCGGCTTGGCGCTTTGCAAAGATGATGGACTTCAGTAGTTTCCCTGGTGTGGGTGCCGGAGTCGGCCACACCGTCGGGGCTGTGCCGATGATCCCCAAGCTATCGAGGGGAATAATGAGACGAAATGTTGACTACACTTCGTGCGTCATAACTCATCTAGAAGTAAGTGCTTGGTAACGCACTCCATTTGATGCCTACCGCGCCGGAATATTGAGCTTGCAGCGTTTGTTTGGGAACCAAAAAGCCTTTCTGTATAGCACATGCCCAGAACTTTATCTCCTGGGTGAAATGGGTAGGTACCCAAGGTGCATTCTAAAAATGCCAATTCTGCTGTAATTTTGGAAGGTATATAACCGGTAGGTGTGACAGTATAAGAGCAAGCACATGACAATAATGAGCAAAACCAAGACGTTAATATCATACCTTAGTATAATACCTACCCCTCTTTTTGAACAAGTGGACAATAGTGTGCATTAAATGGAATGGTGCTCTCTAATTGGAAAATCACACAGAACCGGACCTGGCAGAGAGGGAAGAGAGACAGACCCATTATCCAGCCTGACATGGCCTATGTCACCAAGGTCTGGGCCCTCTACGAGAATGTGTAGCCTTTTGAGTGTGTGTGTGTGCTGGTTGCAGATGGTAGCTCCAGTAGGCAGTGTGGAGGATCCGGTGACCGCCATAACCACCAAGTTTGTCAAGACTGTCTACAACAAACAGAGATGTCCCATCTTCTGCACAAAAGTAAGAGTAATACTTTCACAGATGCATGATATTCTTCTGCTGTTACCATGTCTGGTGGACCCATAGTTGCTTATACCCCAGTGTTAATTTCGAGACCCAAGGAATTTTTCTTTCTTTCACATTAGCCATCTCTTGTTTCTGCCGTGAGTCTAACTCTGGTGGCAAGTAACTGGTAGTCTTGCCTATTTTTTTGCACTGGTGAGCCGTTCATTCCATTATACAATCCTGCGTCAGTCAATATTTCAGTCAATGTGTGTGTGTCTTTCCTCCCTCCCCACAGTGGGCTCCAGATGGAAGGAGACTGATAGCTGGAGCAGCGAGTGGCGAGTTCTCTCTCTGGAACGGAGTCAACCTCAACTTTGAGGCTCTCATGAAAGTATGGGTAACTGTAGCACCCCATTTTTCAATGTCTACAGTACTATGTAGCTACTGTACATCATACTTGTAGTGGGGAGCCTTTAGTTTCTGGGCAGCCCCTAATATATGCTAGCATATTGAGTGCCAGCGTAGGAGCCTTTAATTATAAAACCTTTCCTTGCAGAGTTTTAGCAACATTAGTACAGCTTCTGGACCATGTATGTTTCCAGCACGAAAATTAATTTTGTTGGGTGGGTATGACTGAGCTAGCAATCCACTGCAAGAACTTTCCCGCGACTGTCTTTCACAATAATATGTTGGCGGTGCACTTTTGGTTATACTCTTTGCCTTCCTCTTTCCCTCTTCTATCTCCCTCGCCCTCCCCCTTCCCCAGTCTCACGAGGCGTCAGTCCGCAGCATGGAGTGGAGCCACAACGGGATGTGGATGGCGACGACAGACGACAGAGGGACGGTCAAGTATTGGCAGTCCAATATGAACAACGTGCACAGCTTTCAGGCGCACAACGAGACTATTCGAGGCTGCAGGTGGGACGCTAGGCCGAAAACCACAGGCTCTGGCACGCTAAGTAGTAGTGGTAGTGGATGTTTACATGTGACAGTTTCTCCTGTTTGTCTTGTCTTGTGTTGTGATCCATTACTCGGTACACATACATACAGTATATTGTATATTATACGGATTAAGGGGAGAAATGTATGCGTAGACCTATCATAAAATGTTCACCTTTGGGAGAGTCACAACATGACTTTTATAGAGAGTATATACTTGTGGAAAGTGAGAGTGACAAAGGGAGTTTGTATTGCATAGATCTCTGTCATGAATAATGTTCCCTTCGGTATCGTCATTACACGGTGATATTGGTAGAATGAGTTCATTTTTTGTGGAAAAGTTCCTGTGGATAAGAAAGACAATGTTCAAGTCAAGAGTTAAAGACGTACTCATATACAAGAACCTTGGTGTTCGATCTGAACAGGAACAGCTGTTGCAGGGATGACACACTCAAGTTCAGCCAGCGGTGCAATGCGGAGGATTTTTCACAGAGTTTTCAAGTTTTCAAGTCGATAACAGAGCAGAGAAAAGAGAAAATATCTGCGCTAGAGAGGATGTCTAGTATGTACCTCACCTTCTTACAGTCCCGCTGGCAAGATAAGAATTTCGAGGCCAGAATATCCGGATCTGAAGATATTTTACAGAGCTGCTTTGTAAAGAAAAGTAGAGTGCGTCTATACTGAAGACCTTTGACAAGACAGGATGTACAGTGTGGTGTTGTGGAGGGTGGTGATTCTTTTAAGGGGAGGCTTTATGAATAAACTTGGGCAGTGTATTACTGAGGGGTCAGTGCAAAAGATGGTGCGCAGTGTTTTTTAAGCGTGCGTTGTAAATAAAAAAATGTTGGTCATGAGCTGTGTTGTTGCATTACAGACCACTCACAGACAAGCAGCAAGTGTCCATTTGTTTCAATTTGGTGCCCGTTGTTTTACAGCAATATTATAATTGTTTTATTTTATGATGTTCAACATTGTTGTGTTGCCAAGTTGTAGCTAGATTTTTTATCACCAAAACAATCGGCTGAATAATACCCAAATCAGCTTGAATCGAAATTGGGGAAATTTTTTTTTTGCCAAAAGTATCCGAATTCAGTGATTACTGCTGTTTTCGATACAATGCAGAAATAAGCTTTACTTTGGTGAAAACGGGGTTGCATTAATTAAGAATGCTGATTGGTTTATGACAATTTCAACAATTATGTTATTAAGGGTGCCTATTGCAGCAATTAATGTTGCTTCAATAAACATTTTAGTACCGAAAACAAAGGAAAAGGAATGCTCTTCGTCCTTCTCACAGTTTTTCACCAACGGATGCCAAGTTGGCCACTTGCTCTGATGACGGCACAGTTCGAGTGTTTGACTTTCTCCGTTCCTCCGAAGAGTTCATTCTGCGAGGTTTGCCTCTAGAGGCAGTAGCAATGCACACGGCACAACTTTTTTCCATGTAAATACAATGTTCTCGAGCACTTAACCAGCCACAGACACATGCAAATGTGTCCCTAAGAATTTATATGGCGGTTATAATACTATGCGTGCTAATGTCAATTTCTGCTTTTTTTCAAATCCCCATGGTGTCCAAAGGGTTTTAACTTAAAGTATGGTAGTGAGAAGATGAAGGCAATAGGTCGTGTGTTCTGTCGTTTAACTTGTGCTGATTTGCCACAAGAACAAAGTTGTACCACGTGTGATTTTTTTGCACAATGCATACAAATGACCTTTAGGATGGAAGGCCTGGAAATGACATTACTATAACCTCACAGCAGAATTTTCTTATCTTATTACATTTTGAATTTCATGGGAACATCTTACGCTGACAGTGTGACTCAAGATTACCAGCAAGCATTGTTTATAGTTTTGCTCTATAGCTTTTCAATATAGCTTGCCAGTCTAGCTAATTTCAACTTGAGAGTTTTAGCTAGAGCTCTATAACTTACTACTCCATAGCTTGAAGCTTTAGCCAGAGCTCTATGGCTTGCTACTCCATAGCTTGAAGCTTTAGCCAGAGCTCTACTCCATAGCTTGAAGCATGTTGAGCTTTAGCCAGAGCTCTATGGCTTGCTACTCCATAGCTTGAAGCATGTTGAGTTTAGCTAGAGCTCTATAGCTTGCTACTCCATAGCTTGAAGCTTTAGCCGGAGCTCTACTCTATAGCTTGAAGCATGTTGAGCTTTAGCCAGAGCTCTATAGCTTGATTCTTGTTGAGTTTAGCTAGAGCTCTATAGCTTACTACTCCATAGCTTGAAGCTTTAGCCGGAGCTCTATGGCTTGCTACTCCATAGCTTGAAGCATGTTGAGCTTTAGCCGGAGCTCTATGGCTTGCTACTCCATAGCTTGAAGCATGTTGAGCTTTAGCTAGAGCTCTATAGCTTACTACTCCATAGCTTGAAGCTTTAGCCAGAGCTCTATGGCTTGCTACTCCATAGCTTGAAGCATGTTGAGCTTTAGCCAGAGCTCTATGGCTTGCTACTCCATAGCTTGAAGCATGTTGAGCTTTAGCCAGAGCTCTATAGCTTGCTACTCCATAGCTTGAAGCTTTAGCCAGAGCTCTACTCCATAGCTTGAAGCATGTTGAGCTTTAGCCAGAGCTCTATAGCTGGAGCTTTAGCCAGAGCACTATAGCTTGATTCTTGTTGAATTTAGCTAGAGCCCTATAGCCTAACAGTCTTCCAATGTTATATAGACATGAGCACATTTACCTGTGACTGCATAGGTCACGGTGCCGACGTCAAGTGTGTGGATTGGCACCCGAGAAAGAACCTCCTGGTGTCGGGAAGTAAGGACAATCAACAACCTGTGAAGCTCTGGGACCCAAAGGCAGGCCAGAGCGTCTCCACAATGTGAGTGCGCTTCATGCACTGGATTTGTGTTTTTGTTTTCTTACATGTTTACAAAGGTTGATTTCTCCCCAAGTGTAATGGTAGTGGGTTCAAAATATTGACGCAGACTCCTATGGTATTTCTTGTTCGAAAATCCGATTACTCTTGCATTTCCGGTAGTTCTGGGTTGTGACTCAGCAGTACGTATGGTGCAATATCACCTGAGAACCGACCTACAGTGTGTATTGTAACTGTTAACCTTTAAGAAGTGTGTACGTCTGTATCCTGTGTAGCCATGCCCACAAGGCGGCGGTCACGTCTGTGAGGTGGAACCAGAACGGGAACTGGCTCCTGACCGCGTCCCGAGACCATCTCATCAAGCTCTACGACATACGGACCATGAAGGAAATGGAGGTTCTGAAAGGACACAAGTCAGACGTTAACAGTGAGTATATACCATGCACTTGACTATGCGGTGATATCCTGCAATTCTTATGTGCTGTGCAGTGGGAAAATCTTAGAGGGGGGAAGATTTTGAGTATAGCAAAAAAATTTTCCGAGAAAACTTCTTTGGATGCTTCCTCTGCTTATTTGCCTGCCCATTGTTTCTGAGCAAACTTTTGCAGGTGGCTTTGGAACTGCTAAAGTTGTGAAAGCCTTTTGTCGAGGTTTCCGATTGTAGGGTGCTTTGTATGTGCTGGGTGCACAAACCAAATAACTATGTATATACTGTAAATTAAATTCTTGTGTGTTAGGAATACCCCAGTATTGTGTACTCACACAATCTTTTGCTGAATTCTCTCTCTCTGTCTCTCCTACTCTCTCCACTGCCAAGTAGGTGTGTAAATATGAAACTCTCTTACTCTCTGTAGCTGTGTCGTGGCATCCAATACATGAGAAGCTGTTTGCCAGTGGAGGTTCAGATGGTGCCATTCTATTCTGGCTTGTCGGGTAAGTAGTTATCAGTAGGCTTTTTATAGCCACATTTTTTCATTGCCTTCATATAGGTATAAGTCCACATTAAGGGATAAGGGACCCGGTGAAGTAGGATAGGCTTTCTATGTTTTCACCCCATGCTCATACTTTAGTGTATTATTTGACCTCCGAGATTGGGATGACCTCTCTACAAGTCCTTGGCCCCATGCTGTCCCTTGTTCAGAGGTTCCACTGTATCAGAAGTTGAGCTGTTATACTTAGGTGCTCATAATTAAATATCCGTATTTTCTGAGGACCCATGGAATCCAAAGGGTTTTACTTCGTCATTGTTTGTTTAGAAACAAGAGGGACATTGGAGGGATGGAGTCACCTCATGACAGTTTTGTATGGAGCCTAGCCTGGCATCCTCTGGGACACATGCTGTGTTCTGGGTCTAACGATCACACCTGGTGAGTAGGCCCCTGCTCATTTCTCCATGTTTTTTAAAAATAGCTCTAGGCTAAAACGTGGTGTGCACTACCTAAATTTAAGTATGATTCTGATATATCCACTGACCCAACCACTGACCTACAACCTCAATGGCTTAGAAGAGGCGATTGGCTAGCGAAGTGAGCCACCGAATTGGCGATTTTATTTGTGTAAGTTGGGAAATGCACTCCTGATAGTCTCCAGAAGACAAGGCTTATTGTCCCAATCGATCTTGTGTGTAGACAGCGCTGTCCATACCGTTATTCTTTTAAATACGCGTAAAACTGCTGAAATTCTGCACTCACCGTTGCTAACCGAAAGTTTTTTTGTCCTCATACAGCAAGTTTTGGTGTCGCAATCGACCTGGAGACGAGATGAAGGATCGACACTCTTCTGGCGGCTTGCCTGTTGAGGAAATGGCTGAGACAGGTATGTATTGTATGTATTGTAACTCAGCTCTTGTATATAGCTCCCATGTGTGTATGTTACCAGTCATAATGGTTTCAGATGACCTCTCAGATTTTGTGTGTCCTTGTTGTGCGCCTCTGACTGGTCCACTTTCATCGTCTTTGCAGATGTGTTTGAAAGTGTGAATCTGCCGCAGTCGGGCAACAACATCTCTCTCCCGCCTCCAGCCAAGAACCTTGTTGGCTCTGTCGGTCTTCCAGGGAAGACTACCTGGACTTCAGGCCAGGGTCCCTCGGTAGGGAGAAGCCTTTTGTAAAACATGCTCCAAATAAAGGACACCTCTTTTTATAGGAAACATATATTTTGATCCGGTGCTATACTAGTAAACGGACACCTCTGTATAAGGACATTTTGCATGGTCCCAGCATCTCTTTTACAGAGGTTCCACTCTAAAAGGACACCCTGAAATACGGATGAATCTGTTAAAATATATGGCATCAAAGCTCCCTAAGAAAACCTATTGCAAACACACACCTTAGTGTATTAAGGTTCCCATTAAAATCTATTGTCAATTTTGTTTGTTCCCCGCAGTCCTCCGTTGCTGACAAGCCTGCTGGTAATTTCCCACTGCAAGTTCTGGGAGCTGACATCATCAAGGAGCAGTTTGGAGAACCGGGGGTACCGCCCCCCGGGGGCCAAAATGAGAAACCCGAACCTTCAAAATCTGGGCTTTTCATGCACTTGCAGGGTGGGGAAGGGAAAGAGGGTAGGCCCCCGCCACCTGGAGAATTCGGGTCCCCTTTTCAACAGTCCCCAGGATTTCCCCCTCATCAGAACCCTTCCCCTGGTGGGGGTGGACTGGGGTCGCCAGATGTGAGGGGTCCACCGTTAGGGTTCCACGGCCCCCGGGGCCCCCCACCTCCAATGCAGCAGCAACAGGTGCACGGTGGTGGGAGAAGAGATTGGGGGGAAGGGGGTCCAGATTTTCGGCCCCAATTCCCACCTCGTGACTTTTCCTCACCTCATCGGCATTTTAGACCTAACAATCAACTGGCGTCCAACCCCTTTAGCTGGCAGAGGCAAGATCCAAACAGAGATCGGGCGACCTTTGAAGAGGAAGCAGGAGGAGGAGGAGGAGTAGGAGGGATGCACCGGTTTAACGAGGGGCACAACCCGTACGTGTATCGACGCGAAGAGGGGAGACTGAGGGACCCGCGAGAGCAGAGAGCTCCTCTGCCCCCTGGGAGAGGTGGTGGGGACACGGAGGAAGTTAGGAGGCAGTCTCAAGACGAGGAGGGCCCTGAGTGGCACAACAGGGGACCCCCACCTTCACACGGGTGGCAACAAAGACAGGAGGATGTTCGTGGAGTTGGAGGTCCGCCACCAAGGGGACCAGAGTTTCACAACAGGGAGACCAAACCCCCAACCCAGGAACACTTTGATCAACACCGGGGGCCGGATTTTGGGCCCCCGCAGCGGGACCGTAATGTGGAGGAGTTTCCACCCGTGACTCACCACCGTATGCAGGAGAGACAGGGAATGGGGACGCAGAACCAGCTGCCGTTTAGAGAGGGTGAGAACTGGCGTCCTCAGTTTCATCCTGAGAGACCCCTACAGGAGGGACCGCAGCACAATTTCCAGGGGCGACCCCCACCTCATCAGGGACCAAGATTTCCTCACGAGGAACCCCGTCTACCCCCTCGATCTGAGCCACATGTTCCCCATCCAGAGCATGAAACGGGGGGACCAATCACACCAACCGGGGTTGTTCCCCCACAGGGGGGCGAGGAAAGAGGAGCACATGTGCATGATCCACGATCTCAACGTCCTCCGACCTCACAACCTCTCCCGTTTCCTCCCAATGATCGCCAGCAACGTCTCCCCGAGGTTCCCCCAAATCAGGTCCCCCAGAATCATGCTCCCCTGAATCAACATCCCCCAATCTCACAGCAACCCCTGTTCCCTCCCAATGATCGCCAACAGCGCCTCCCTGAGGTTCCCTTAAATCAGGTCCCCCCGAATAAGGCTCCCCCGAATCAACGTCCCCCAACCACACAGCAATCCCTTTTCCCTCCCAATGACCGCCAGCAGCGTTTTCCCGAGGTTCCCCCAAATCGACAAAGTAGTGCAGGCCATCCAAATCTCCGTGAAGGGGGTCCTGTGCGTCCAATTCACCCACAAGCAGTACACGAGCCTCCGCAACATCAGCAGAGTGTTCGAGATGCTCCAATGAAGCCTCAGGAAGCTCACCACGGTCCACCAAATGGTCCTCTGCCTCGTATACAGCAAGGTCCTCCCCCACCATCACAATTTCGTGATGGTCCCGCACAACAAATTCCCCCCTCGCAACAGCCCAGCTCATCACCCTCCTCATATGCACGAGGGACCGCCAAAGATGCAGCTGATGAATCGCGACGGCCCACCTGAAATTCGTGATGCACCCCCTCATCATATTTTGCGTAATATGCCTGATGGACCCCCACAGCATATCTGTGAGGGCCCCTCACAACACAACATGATACGCGATGGTCCCCCACAGCAGGTGTCTCACAATGGGCCCCGCGAGGGTCCCCCTCAGCACAATATTCATGAAGGGCCCCCTCACAACCCGCAGCAAATTCGCGATGGGCCCCCACAGCAGCGTCATGATGGTCCCCCAACTAACATTCATGACAGACCCCCAATGAACTCCCCCCAGCACCCCAATGCTCCTCCTCATCAACGGTTCGACGAGTTTCATGGTCCCCCACGAGGTGACAGATTTTTCCCGAACCAACCAGGGGGCCCAAACTCCCCCCTGCCTGGAGAACCCCCACAATCTCGGCCATTCTTGCCCCCTCATTCACATCCAGGTCCCCCCATTCACAATGTGAATCAAGGTCCACCAGATGGGGGGCCAAGATTTACCGGTCCTCCGCTCATGGGTCAGAATCAAGAGCACTATCACTCCCCTCAGCATTTCCCTGAGCCACAGGGACCCCCCAACATACAAAGACCACCTCCACAGCACTTTTCTGGGCCTCCTCACTTGGACCAGATGTCAAGGGAACCTCCGCATAATTACAACCAGTTCCCCCCAGATCAGCCGCGACTCCCGCACCACCCTGGTCCTTCTGACCCCCGTCGCCCCCCACCGAATTTCCAGCCCCCCGACAGGGTCCTTCCTAATGATCGGGGATTTCCTCCTCCTCACCCCCCTCACCGTGGGCCCCCACCTCACCGGCAGGACGGAGGACCCCCACTGCACAGACAAGACGGAGGGCCCCCTCCACGCAGGCAGGAAGGGGGTCCTCCTCTTCACAGGCAAGACACAGGACCCCTTCCACACAGGCAGGACGGAGGACCTCCGCAATCAGGAGAGCCCCCCAACTGGAATCAGCGCCAGCAGTTCCCCCGTGATTCTGGGGGCCGATTCGAGGAGAACCGAGACCCACCACCACCACCACCACCACCCACGTGGTGGGGAGCGTAGATCCAGTGGCGGCGGTGGCAGTAGTCGCGGAGAAGGGAGGGGAGACAAGAGGGAGAGGGAGCGAGAGAGGGAGAGGGAGGGGAGGGGGAGCAGGGGTTCCAGAGACCGCTCTCCTAAACAACACAGCTCTGGCTCGTCGAGTAGGGATGGGCAGCCGGCTACCAAACGCTCGAGGAGCGATAGAGATCTCCAGCAAACACAGCTCCAATCGCAGCAGGGAAAAGAGCTCGCGAAAGTAACACACAAGACAAGCACGCACACATTTCTGGTATCTTTTCTGTCCTTCACAAGGAAAGTGTTGACTTTCATGATTGTATCCCTATATCTATACATAGTGTTGACTTTTTTCATGATTGATCCCTATTGTTTAATGCATCATCTCATATATACAACGAAATATCCTACTTCATTGGTCCTTATTGTAAATGATTCATGTGTGTCAGTAATCGAGCTTTTGAAGAAACGTCTTCTCAGTGTGAAGATGGTGGTTCTGGCTCTAGTTCAACCATTCTGCCCTCTCGCTGGGATCGCTGACAGGCGTTTGCCACACGTGTCAAGAGTAACACGTCTTTCCTCGTGATGAGCCCTATCTCTGACGGGTCCAGGATCATGTCCAGAAAATGGTCCATCTCACGTTCATAGGCGACCTTAAACCTGCATAGATTGGTATAATAATATACCTAATTAACCCTTAAAAATTTGGGGTATTGTTACAAAGTTGTATCGATCACCTATTATTAAGTGAAACTTCCGAAGAAGACACACATTGGGGACAGCTCTTTTGTCCTGTTTTTAACCGTCGCATGTAATAAAATCAGAAGCGTAAAAGTACGAAAATATTGATTTTAACGCACACCTATCAGCAAATGAAGGCACTACACCACCGGCCAGGGGTCCATTGGCTGAGAAATGAGTCAAAGAGTCAATATGAACGTTGTCACATCGTACATGCCTTCCCTTCTCTCCAAGAACCTGCACAGAAATCCAATGAATAGCTTGATATTGACTGTATTCTAGTTGATAGATTCCAATTCTGCCACCTTCATACTGGCAGTGGCATAAGAGGGAATTTTTTATATGTTGACCTTTTAGCACATAAAGCTTTCTCCTATACTATAGAATGTCCATAGTTGCTATTGGAGCTGGCCAAGCCCGGTAAGGAACTAGACCAAGCAGCTGACGATAGCTGTCAAAGAAGAATACGTGGAGTTCGAAGTTCACGCATTATAAGACGGATGGATTTGACTACGCATTGTTTTCCCTCCCAACGTGCAGACGAGATTAGTCAGACTTCCTATTATCCTGGCATAATTTCTTAGTGCTTGGGTCTATTATGCTCAGAATTATGCCAGCATAATGTACCCAGGCTGAACTGGATAGCCCATGTCGAGGAACACCTAAGGCCACTCCAAGTTGTATACCGGTTTCTGGTCCGCTGCCCGCACCCAATTCAAGAGACCGCTGGGCATGCAGTGCTGGTGTACTAATGGCTTTGTGCTTGTCTCGTTTTGACAATACGAATTTTGGTGGTCATTATTACTAAGTGGACTAATGACATAATAGGTAAAACCCGCCACCACATCTTGACTTGAAAAGGCCCTGGCTAGAAACCGGAATGCAATTTGGAGTGGCCTAACCACTCATCTCGCAGCCGGTCCGGTTAGCTACAGAACCTTCTGGAACATCACGCACATATTTTGCAATGTGTTGCATATTTAGTAGGTATACAATGGAACCTCCAAACAAGGGACGCTATGGGGCCAATGATCTTGTCCCTTGTAGAGAGGTCGTCCCTATCTCGGACGGTCCCTTATCGGAGGTTCCACTGTATACTCTGGAAACGTTACCTCAAGTCTAATGTCATATCCATAGCTGGAGTGTCGACTGAGGTCAAGTATTGCCAGGACTCCACTGGGGAACTTGAGAGTTATAGCAATAGTGTCCACGTCCCCCACACTGGCAATCTCGGGGTCAAAGACAGAACCCTGAGCAAACACCCCGACCGGCTCTTCTCCTACTATCCAGCACAGCATGTCAATGTCGTGGACCGCCGTGTCGTGGTACATCCCTCCAGAAGTCTTGAGGTACTCCACGGGCGGTTTAGTAGCGTCCCGACTGGTTGATTTCACCTGGTAGAGCTTACCTATCTCACCATTTACGACTTGTTCTCGAAGGCGAGACATTGCCGGATCGAAGCGGCGCTGGAACGCGCAGTAGAGCGGCAGTCCCTTCGTCTCCGCGATGTCGTAGCAGTTCACCACCTCGGCAAGGTCGTAGGCGAGCGGCTTCTCGCAGAAGACGGCTTTTCCGGCTTGCAGCGCTCGCTTCACGTACGACTCGTGGAACTTGGTTGGGACAGTGATGACAACGCCTTGTAGCTCTTCGTCCGCAAGGACCACGCTCTCGTAGTTGCTCGTCCTGACCAAACTCACGCTGTCCAGCATCCTGAACTCGGTCAGTTTGCCTTGCGCGGCCTGTAGGACGGCGGGAACCTCGAAACAGTCGACGACGTACTTGAGCCTGCAGCGAGGGTTCGTACGGATCCCTTGGAAGTGAATGTTTCCTGCCCGCCCGAAACCGCACAGAGCGAGAACCACTGGCGGCTTAGGCGTAGACGATTGCATACCACCACTGTTCTGCATCTTCCAACTGCAGAGTCCAGTGCAGTCTCGTTGATCCAGATCGTGCTGCTGGTGAATGGGTACCACAAGTGTGGTGAAGGTCGAAGTGCAGAAGACGAGAGCGCATGCGCAGTAAGTAGATAGGTTACGTACGGGAAACGCACAACACGGTGAGCGTTACGTACTCCGGCGCGTATTGACGTCAACTTGCACAGTTTTCACAGTAGTTTTGCTAGCCTAGTGTGAGGGAGAGATCGACAAAGGACTATGGGTCAAGGCGACGGACAGGACGAGAGCGGAGGGGAGGGAGGGAGCCAGGCTGGATCCACTGGCTCCAGGAAGTTGATAGACCTTCGCGATTGCCTCACCGATTCGCCGAGATTCAGGTGAGCCGTAGACAGTGCATCTCTGTGCTGTGTTGCGGGTGCACCTGTACACACTGGAGGGTGTAGCGAATGCCGCGTGAGATGCTGCGTAGCGATAGTTGAAGTGCGACAGTCTTGCTGTAGGTGTGTGCGTAGCGGACAAGGCGTTGGGCAAAGTTACAAGCCTGTTTTGTAAGCGTGCGTGGGCGTGTGTGGCGGCATCTTCCTGCTCCCCCAACGTGTTTTTCTCCCATGTAGCAGTCCTCTACGACAATCTACGGTGTTTTTTAGTGTACCAACAGTGTGCGCCACTACCGGCCTTGTCCTTTGTGTCAACAGCTGGTGTATCTTCCACCCTGCCTTTTATGATAAGATTAGCCGTTAGTTCCGTTGCTTACTTTGTGCGTGCTGAGTGATGTGCGAGCCAGCCTGGAGGCAAAATTCACACACTCTAACTGGTACCGAATTTTTTCTGAGTGACGAGTGACTGTTGTGTATGTGTTGTCTAATTGGGGCACGACGACCACGATTAGAGGTTCATTCAGGGGCCCCATCAAAGGCTACATGTATCCCGCAGGGATTATCATCAACATTCAAGTTGAATAGCGGTCGAATGATTTCGAGCTCTTCTGCGCGATTTGACCCCACCATAGCTGGATCACTCTTTTATCTCTGTGCTTGAACCAGCAATGCTGAGTTACTTGTATATTGGCTCATCTAAGATCGGATTGTCAGTGTGCAGTGGTGATGCTGTGACTACTAGCCAGCTGTGCTTGTGTTGACCAGCTCTCTTCCTTGTCCTTGCAACCGCCCAAGTCTTGTGTTCAGCCATATGTGCACGTTTTGTCCGCGCTCGGCACTTGAAGGGGTTTGGCTGTCGTTTGCACAGATTTTATTATGTTATTCTCGTATGCTGCCTTTATTAACCCTCGGCGCGCATGCGCAGCGAGGGTTACAGTACTTGGGTCTGTGTGTCTGTGTGTCTGTTACTCTCAATCTCACTTCTCGGGTGTTTGTTCGTCTCACAAAGGATACCACCTACTGAACGGGCAATGAAGGTCAGAAATTTCGAACGGTTTTCTCTGAAAACGCTCCGTTGCAAAGCTAGAGCGCGAAAAAGCCAATATGCAAATACACAACGGCTTACTACGGCATGATCGACCCGCGTGCTCTGCGTACCTCGGAGGCACCAGAAGATGCAACGCAGGGCGTGTATCGCCTCTCGCATGCTATCTAGTAGTGTAGTTAGACCGCGTCAGACTCTGCGAGTAACAGCTAAAGCTAAACCCAGCCCATCAATTAGTGGTACGGCGCATGCGTTTACTTACGATTGTGCGTCACAGTTCGCCGAGGGTTTGCACTTCAGTGCTTTTCATAATTCCAGTAGTTAAATTCTCATAAGTTGCTTCACAATGCTGTGTTCTCTGCGTCATTGTGTCTAGTTCGATTGCTAGGTTGAGCGGGATATTCCTTATTCCTTACCTCAACACACCCTGTATCTATATGTGTGTATTATATATCATATGAGTGGGTGCACTGTACGTAAGCATTTGTGTCAGCTTTACATCATGACTCTCACCTGCATGCCAGACACATTACAACTCTGTATACTCAGTATATATAGTGTACACATTAGTAATGTACAGTAAGGACCTCAATGTGTGATACGGAGTTGTATGTATGTGTGTATGTACTTTTAGAGCCTTTTGGGAGGATTTGTAACCCTTCAGTGTGTTCTTGTGGAGGTGAATGTGTGTTCAAGGCGTGTTGTGTACCAGGAAGAGCATTTTGCATGGGTGCACACAACTTTGACTGCAGTTTGATAAACAGGTGCCATATTAGTGCTGGATATACACGCATGTAGGAGCGTGTGTATTCTGCGTTGTTGTTAACCCTCGGCATGCATGCACTGGTGGAGGTTTTTTGCTCTCTGTGTGTGTGTGTGTGTGGTGTCTTAGTAAGTATTAGTGAGGTTTGAGTAAGTGCCTTTCATTTTAGCTGAGTGTTAGTTACTGTAGCTAGGACCTCTAGCCAGGGAAATTGAACTAAGCCTACCATATCTGTAGTAATTGACAGAGGGAAGAAGGCCTGGGGCAAGGCTAAATAAGATAATTATTAGGTATGTTTCTGGTGAAGCTGGATCTAACACTGACTGTGTGAGATGGATTCATGAGGTCTCTCTAAGGATGCCCCTGATATGAGGAGAACTCTCTCTACAAAGGACACCTTTTCTTTCCCCAGGAGCAGTTTCTTGCATGCTAACCCCCGAAATAAGGATACCTCGCTGTTTTCTTCTGTGCCATTAGTGTCCGGATTAGAGGGGCTCCACTATAGTGACAGGCTATACCTTAGCTGTCTGTTTTGGCCCTTACACTTTAGAGAGGGAGGAAGTGGTCTATCTTCAATTTCCCCCACCACATAACCCCCCAAATACATGCATGCCAACATAGGGGAAAAAACTGTTATGAAGCCAATATGAGCAAGCAATGGTAATAATACTATTGGCAAGTCAAACGAGCATCTACCTAGCGATTCGAATCAACTGTTAGGTATTTGCACTTTTCTTGTGCACCAAAAAGTCTGGCTAATGTAGGTATATATAAAGTAGCATTTACGTGTAAAGTGTGGCGTTTCATGTATATAGCATTTCTCCCTCTATGAGAGGTGTGCTAATGACTTCCAGTTGCTAAGTAGAACGTCTGGTGTTAGATTCTTTCGGGCTTTTGGTCAGCCAGTGAGCGAAGGGTTAAAAGATCAGCCGCGTATACATCTTTAATTTATTTAGATGCTTTTAGTGTCATTAACTATTCATCAATGGAATTGTTCAAATACGTCCGTTTGATGCACCTGCATAATTTGTAGCTTTAATAAGAGTGCTATGGTGTGGGACTGGCTAGGCGCTCATTAAGCAAATGACACTAATCCACTAGCTACTAATAATAATTGGTGACGTTTGTTAATAAGCCTGAACCCATTTTTTACCTATATACGTATTCCCTGCTGTAAAAATAGTACATTATACATACCTATAGCCTGTCATTAGCCTTTGAAACTGTCGCGCCAATTATTTTCCTCAAAAAACCTCACTATAAAGTTCATCGATAATATTAACGTATACGTATAATATACGCATCTTCGTAAACGGGATGAATAATGAATATGCTGCGTATGCGTACGTCACATACCAGTATGGACCATATGTAAATAAGTATTGTTTTCACAGAGCTGTGAATGGGCTTTAGGTAAACAGAAAGTTCTTCACTCACAAAGATACACAACTGTCACACGTTGTTTACTTAAACAACAATTCGGCAAGTTTGGAGGACGGACAATCGTAGATTTGGATGGGGTTCCAGCCAGCCAGCTGTAACTGCCCTTTAGCAGTTGGCTTAACACACCAGCAATACATTTGATATAGACACTATACACTGTACATGTATTATACTAGCCTCGTCCCTTATACGTACAGTACATGTGTCAGCTAATGTGTTGCAAACTGTAGCTGTAGATACACGTGTATGTGTGTATGTATGTGTCTATTTGATAGTGTTACACAATGTTGTAGTGCGCAGAATGCACGAGGGTGTCTGATGGAATAATGTTCGTCTGTTATGGCAGTATCTAGAGTGGTGCATGTCTCTAACCCAATAATGAGGTGTCCTCCCTTGGCCATTTTTGTCTCTGCTTAATCTCATCTTTTATTCCCCTCCACATCATTTACCTCTCTCTCTCTCTCTCTCTCTCCCTTCCCCCTTCCCCCCTTCCCTCTCTCTTCCCTCTCCTCCCTCTATCCAGACATCGTCTTGCGGATCACGAAGCAGAAGTTGTTGATCTGGAGTCAAAACTTGAGAAAGTAAGCCATAGTTGCACTTTCTATAGAACCACGGTCTCGCGCACAGTCGAACTTGAGCAAACAACGGGCTGACGAGCAGGAATACCTACGTATTGCCTCCTCTCTAAGGGCTACTCTGAAATGAGGACACCACTCTAAAAAAGGCATATTTTCTTTCCCAAGAACAACTATTGCACGGAGTTTTCCTACATTATGATAGAAGTTATCCCTAGCCCTAAATTATTCCCCATTCCATAAAGTATATACATGTCTATGTGACCTTCATAGTACAATCAGCAGGATATTGAAACCGTTGGTCGTTTCAGTTTAATAGGTACAGAAGGTAATGAATGGGCTTTCTCCCTCCCTAATACTTTCATGACTCAAAAACTTGCATCATAATGTGGTTGGCTAGCAAGTACAGTTTCAAGATTCCATTCAGTTCGTGAGAATTTTAGTTATTGTGTTTTATGCGGGTGAAAGTGTGTTCATGCTGTTACGATTATGGTGCTTATAATGATGCAGAGTTACGTAATATAGCGTCGTTCTTGTGGCTGCTGGGAGCTTACTTTCAACAAAAGATGAAAAGCCAGCAGTTTACCTTTAGATGTGTGTCTTACAGCTGAGCTGCATGCATGACGTGCCACGCATGCATACATTGAAGGAGTGCATTGTATAACAGATACACATGAGCAACATACATACTAAGATATGGCTACATATAGGTTAGACGCGGAAGCGAGGTGTCTATGTTACATTGCAACCCGAGGGGCTGTGGAATGTTGGCGTCCCGAGCGCAGCGAGGGCGCTACCCACATGCCCCGAGGGTTGTAATGTAACGTTGACACCGAGCTTCCGCGTCTAACCGGTTTAGACCGAAGTATCTGATTGGTGTTTGCGCGTTCAAATGGGTAGCAACAAGCTAGCAACGCTGCGCTCATTCTTACCTTCGGATGGAACAAGACGCTTTTTTTACGTGTGAGATTTTGTCCGACTCCGAGGAGACAGCCCCCGCCCCCCGTCAAAAATCGTGTACGTCATCATAAAACGCTCTCATTGGTGGTGCGCGTTTGAAAGGGTTAGCAACGCACGGCAACGGCCCAATGTGTTTGTGTATCGCCAGAGCTGAAGAAGCCGACGCTTTTTTCGTGGAATATTGACGTGATTTCTGACTTTCGCGAGCTCCGGAGACTGTCCACAGACTTCTTGCAGGTGCACTGCGCATTTTAAAAGAGCTACTTTACAAGTCGCGCCTTCTACGCTTACCGAACGCGGAATCGGCCAGTTTGCGCAGATAACGACTTTTGAGAATAGCCATTTTGTACGGGGAGTTTGCTGTAGACCACCTGCAAACGCCATTAGACACCTGAAACGAGGTGTCTATGAAAAATAAACCCCCCGCAATTCTGTAATCTGATTGGTCAATTGCGCGTGACTGCGGTCTAAAAACGTATAGACATTTCCGTGCACAATATTTTGTCATGTTCACTGCTTTTTTCGGATTAGATCTGCGTTACTTGTTTTGCTAGGGAAAAGAGCTTCGGTACATACATACATACAGCCACGTACACTTACGAAACTCAATACAATGTGGTTAGAAGAGTGACTAGTTACGTAGGTACATTGATAGAGCTCAGTGTAGTATATAGTTACATACTAGGGAGGAAACCCGATATGATTAACGTACTACAATTACGTTAGGGGGAAAGCATGTACATTATACTAGGGGGGCTAATACGTGTGGGAGTCATACCATTTTGGTAGTAGGAGCTCAGTGGGCATACACATACCAATCATGGACTGCCCTTCCTTCATTCTTGGCCCACACTCTCTGCCTTTCCTGATCACACTAATCATGTACTACATCAACAGCCACCCTGGTGGTTTGAATTGCACACGTACATCTCTATGTGCAAAGCACTGAACTGGTACATACGTACATACACCTCAACGAATGCAACACGTTGTTTTGGTCAGCGAAGCGACCTTTGAATTGCCGTTTGTGGTGTTTGTGTGCGCATATTGTCCCTGGTAAGCACCGCTGTACGTAGTTGGTTGGTCATGTGTGTAGTTGACTAGTTTGCCTTGCCTTGCCTTTCTACCTCGATACCAAGTTGTTGCGACATGGAAAAAGCCGGGTCAATTCAGATGACTACTTATATAGGTATGTAGGCTCACTTTGCTTACCGGCCATGTAGAGTGCAGCTACACTTTCTGTGCATGCATGAAATATTAATAGAGAAAACAGTGTATCAGTGGTATGAACGTGTACACATACTTTCTGGGTTGTGGTTTCGAAGTCTTAGTAGAACAATGCACGCTTACAACAAAATGCTTGGAAATTCCACTGAATTAACCACTGCATGATTGGAGGTAATATGAATAATATAAAAGGCAGGGACTATACTAAGAGCATTGCTAGCCGCTCACCACGCCCTGAAAGAAACAGGGATGTAGGGATGGGGTTATGAATGACTTTCTGTCTCGGCATAAGCATCTTTTCATTTCCCTTATTTTTTATCCCTACATCCCCTTCTTTTAAGATTTAAGATTTTAGAGAAATAATTTCTCTACTCTATGTCCATATTATACTGTAGAAAGCTCTTTGGGGGGTATATACAAGTAGCAGGTTACGTATCGAGTGGCTGATCAGTAGCATTATTTTGAAATTCCAAGAAGATTTTGACGTACGCACACATGCATTGGAATGCTGTGCGTGGTTTTGTGTGATGACTAGGTGACATGTGGGATTGTGTGTGTGCGTTGGTGTGTGATGGTGTGTGGATACTATGGTTGTAGATGGATGGAGTGTGCATGTACCTGTCAGAAGAATTGGTGAAGCTATATATTTGTCTTACTTCTTGTGTATTTACATACTTCTTGTGGTCATGTTGTTTGGCTTTGGTTTGATTTGACCTTGTTGTTGCATGCACATTTACTGCCACTACATCACGGCAGAGGTGAGATTGTCTGACTTGGTATCTTCTTTACTTCTCTCTCTCTCCCTCCCTCCTTCTTTTTTTCTCTCCCTCCCTCTACCTCCCTCCTCCTTTTGTCTCTCCCTCTCCCTCCCTCCTCCTCCCCTCTCTCTTTCTAGGTGGTGACATCATGTGACCGCATGGTAAACAATGGGCAGGCCTACGTGGAGGCATGCCGCAGCTTCTCTTCATGTGTCCGAGAACTGGCGGGCCATTTTCACAACAATTCAGTAGTAGAGGTGAGTAAAGACATTCTGAAGTATGGCTTATTAACCCTCGGCGCGCATGCCCTCAATAGATTCCCTGTGAGTAATTCCCTATAGTTATGTCATACTCCAAATCTGCCATAATTATAATCATAATAATACTATAATTAAACCTGCCCCTGTCAAGTATTGAGTGTGGTGTAATGGTTAAGGACTCACACTCTTGATCCCGAGGTCACCGGTTCGATCCCTGTCTGAGTCATCTTTTTTATAATGATGTAATGCAAGTGTTGATATAAGAGGAACGTTTTTTCATCAACTCTCGTGGCCAGCCCGAGTGGCTAAGTGGTTAGAGACGTGGGGACTGTCACATAAGGTGCCCGGTTCGAATCCCGGACCCGCACTGAAACTGACAGGTGGTCCAGAGCATTGGCTGGGAACAGCTCTGGTTCCTCCCCTTACCCACGAATCTACCACTGACCCATGTTTCTCAAAGGGCAGCGTATAGTTCGGCATAGCACTGCGTCCGTAGACGTCTGTCTGGAGAGATTGAGGGCTGGCCCATTATATTTAATTAATTTTTTTTAAACCTTAACAATTTATTGTTTTGCCTAAAACAATCCATGGATAAGTTAAAATGGTGCATAACATTCAGTTATATTTTTCGTGCATGTTTTTGTGTAAGAGGCTCTCAACATACATTTTCAGGTTGCCCTGTGCCATTTCCATTTTTGTGTGTACCGTAGAGGTTCATAGGAATGGCGGGAGCACATGTGTGTATTTTTGTCAAGCCGGCATTGGTTAAAGTGCTCATTCCATGGTCCGTTGCCAACTAGTTCACTTTATGCCTCAGCTGGCACTGAATGAGTTATGTACGATACTCTTAACCTTGCCATGTTATATGATTGGTTATAAGAGTTCTTCAAATTCTTTCTCCTACATACTGTGTATATATACCTTCCCAAAGTGTGCACACACACGCGTATAATTCAGCATAGTTATGTATGTTGGTCAGTATAGCATTATAGCTGTACATACATACGTACATAGACATATCCATATCTGGTAAACTTCGCTGGAACGGTGAGGTCGTGTGTTGTGTGCTGTAATGCAGGGGTGTACATTCCATGGCGATATCGTGTCCAATGTAATTGTGGGGTGTGCATACTTGGTTCACTTTGATCTTTGTCATGTCTTACTCTCACTCTCTCTTCTCTCTCTCCCTCTCCCTCTCCTCACCTCCTTCTCTCTCTCCACCTCTCCCTCTCCTCCCCTCCCCCAACACAGCAATCTCTAAGGAGGTTCTATGACACTCTGGCAGAAGTCCAATCATTCCACAGTGTATGTGTGCCATTCATCTTCATTGTGTGTGCATGTCATATATACTCGACCCGCATAGCTGGAAAATTTCACAGATCATAAAATTCTTCTGTGGAATGCATCGTAATGTTACAGTACACAAATAGATCTCTGGCACTATATTGGGAATGAATGTAGATTGCTATAAACCTTGAATTTTAAGAGTCTTCTCATTTTTTTGCTGTATTGTAGTATCTTCCTCTCTCTCTCTCCTTTTTGCTCCCTTACACTTTCTTCCCTTCCCTTCCCTTCCCTTCCCCACCCCCTCCCTCTTTCCCTCTCTCCCTCTCTCCCTCCCTCGTTCCCCTCTTTCTCTCCCTCCCTCTCTCCCTCCCTCAGATTCTTTTTGATCAGGCTCAACGAAGTGTACACAGTGCTCTGAGATCCTTTCTGACTGGGTAAGGAAAGGGGGTTACGGGGGCGGTGGGGGTGTGGAAGGCCGGGGGGGGTTGGGGGGGGGGGGGGGACACGGACGGGGGGGGGGGGGGGGGTTACCCAGCCGTCGGGTTACCTACCAGTACAGTATATGTACATACGATTCTACGTACAAACTGTACTACATGTACTTATCTGTAATACATGTGAGGTATGGACTGCCCATGTATGTGGAGGGATGACATATATTGGTTGGTGTGGTGTTAATGTTGATGAGGCGCTAAACGTAGGACATACACATATACGTAGTTGTTGTATGTGTCGATATACGTGTACATGAAGCCAAAACATGGGACCTGATTGTAAAGTTGGCTGGTTATGACAGTAAAAGTCTAAACTCTATCGAATCAATTACTGTGGGGACCCTCTTCACTCAACTGGCCAACAAACCACGGTTTGCTTATTGTGGATGAACACCAGAGCAGGCGAGTGGGGAGAAAGGAGGGGAGGGGGGGGAGGGGGGCGGCGGAGCGGCGGGCGGGCAGGCGTGGGGGGGGGGGGGGGGGGGGGGGGGGGGGGCGGGGGGGGGGCATGCAAGGGGGGGGGGCGGGGCAGCAGGGGCAGGGGGAGGGGGGGTGGGGGGGGGGAGGGGGGGGGGGGCGGGGGTTGGGGGGGGGGGAGGCAGGGGGGGGGGGACAGGGGGGGCAGGAAGAGCAAAGAGAAGGACGGGGGGGGGGGGGGGGGGGTGGAGCGGGGATGGGTAGAGGGGGGGGGAGGGGGGAGGGGACGAAGGGGGGGCGGGCAGGGAAGGGGCAGGGGGGGGGGCTAGCGGGGCGGGGGACAGGAGGTGGTGGCCAGGGTGGGAGGGGGGGTGGGTGGGGGGGCGGGGGGGGCCAGGGGGGCAGCAATGGGGGCGGGGCGGGGGCGAGTGCGGGGGTGCGGGGGGGGGTAGACGGGAAGGCGGCTGGGGGGGGTGCGGGGGGGTGGGCTGGGGGGGGGAGGGGGGTGTGGGGGGGGGCTAGATGAGTGTGGCGGGGGGGGGCGGAGGGTGGGATGGGAATGAGGGGGGGGGGGGGGGTTCGCTGGCAGTGGGTGGGGGAATATGTGGGTAATGGAGCTCAGGGTTGGTAGGGAAGGGGGGGTGTGGGGAGGGAGTAAGGTCGCTGGGGAGGGGGTGGGGGTTGGAGGTGAAGTCTGACGGGGCTGTGGTGGTGGTGGGAGGGGGGGGCGGGTGGTGTGGGGGGGGAGGGGGGGGCGGGGCAGGGGGCAGGGGCGGGTGGGTGGGGCGCGGGAGGGGAGGGGAATAGGGGGGTTAGGGGGGGGGACATCGGCGAGAGGGAGGGAAGGTGGTGGGGTGGGCATAGGGGGGAGGGGTCCGGCGGGGGGTGTGGGTGGAACGAGGGAGGGGGAGTTGGGGGGCGGGGGGGGGGGAAGTGGAATCGAGGGAGGACAGGGGGGGGTGGGGGGGCAGAGTGAAGGGGAGGGGGCAAGGCGGGTGAAGGGGGGGGGGTGGGGGAAGGGGGGCGGGATAAGAAGGGGGGGGCGGAGGCGGCCGGGGGAGGGGTGGGGCGGGGAGGGGAGGGTGGTGGGGTGGTGGCCGGGGATGTGTGAGGGGGGGGGGGTGGGGTGGGAAACTGGGGGGGGGGGGAGGGGCCATGTTGGACACAGGGCGGAGGGCGCGACGGGCGGGCGGTGGGGGGGGGGGGGGGGGGCAGAAGGGGGGCAGCGGCGAGGCGGGGGGGGGGGGGGGCGGGGGGCGGGGGGGGGGGGGCGGCAAGAGGGAGGGGGGCAGGAGGGAGGCGGGCAGGCAGGGGCGGGGGGGGTGGGGCGGCGCAAGCAGGTGGGGGGGCTGGGGGTGGGGGGGGCAGGATTTTATTTGTTTTTTTTCGTATTCAGTTTCATCATTTTTCATCTTTTTTTTTTTATTTTTTCTTTTTCATTTTTATTTCATTTTCAGTTTTTATCTTTATCAAGCGCCTCTTCCCAAATCCTTTTTGCTTTTTTTGTCTTTTGACTATCTTTTCCTGCCCCACTTTTCTTTGTTCTCTAGTGAGCTGAAGAAGGTGAAGGACATGAAAAAGACGTTTCATAAAGTCAGCGAAGAGCTCAACAGGTAAGGTGGTGTACCGTGAGAAACTTTCGTTCATGAGTTTTGCGGTTTCAATGCCACCCGGTATTGTGGATAGAATCGTGTAGTATAGAACTATGTTAGGTGGAGTTTTAATGATATTCACGACAGTCAATCTAGCGTGGGAGGTGGAATGACCTGGTAGGGACACTTTTACCGGCACGTCTAGTGTGTACGGTAAATGCTCTGCATTATTGATGCGCTGGAGTGACTTCATTCTCTGTCTCATAGGCAGGAAGGTAGAATTCGCTTAGCAAAATGTGAGATGGGGCAACAAGGATTATTCTCATTTTCTCTCTCTCTTGTCTCCATTCAGTGCTGTTCACAGAAGTGCACACGCCCCAAAAAGTAAACCCCAGGAGGCAGAAGAGGTATGTACGACATTTGACATGTGTATATACACCCACGAAAAACCCTTCGTAAAATTAAGAAAGTATTTTCGCGGATTCTTTGGTCTTAGCGGGCCACACATGCTGGCCTGACCGCAAAACTAAGTTTTCTACCACCTTTGCATTGTGACTGTAATGCTAATAGTGTCTTGTTACCAGCAATACTCCCCGCTCTTCTTATTCATTCCTCCTTCCCTCTTTCCCCCTCTCCTCCCTCTCTCCCCCTCTCCCCTCTCCTCCCTCTCTCCAGCTAAGCAGTCAGTTGGCTAACATACAGACTCAGTTCAGCCACACTGCCATTGACTACGGTTACCATATCAACGCCGTATCCTGCCACAAAGGACACCACCTTCTCAACCATGTTAGTTTAACTCCTATCACACTGAATTCCAGTCTGTGTTTCGAGTGTTTAACTGCAGTCTACCACACCGGACTCTAGTGCTTATCACAACTCTTACTATTTTAGTGTGTAACCTTTACCACATAGCATTCTACCCCTATCACACACAAACTCTGGCCCCTTCGTATTCTATACATGGCATATATCTACTGTACGTACACATCTACGACACTATTTATTTCACAACCTGAATTTACCCACCAGCGAAATTTGGGTTGTTGGGGAAGTCGTTGTTTGGGATTCAGTTTCCTTTTTGTACCACTCCAACTACAATCTTTCAATCTTTCCTTGTGTCCTTTTCCTGTAATTCAACTTTCACCGCCCCCCCCTCAATACACGAACACACACCTTTTCCTACTTTGCTGGTTACCTATGTACCCACTCTCCCTCTTCTCCCTCCCTCCCTCTCTTCCTCCCTCCCTCCCTCCCTCCTCCTCCCTCCCGTAGCTCCTCTCCTACATGCGTGCCCAGTACACCTTCTTCCACCAAGGCTACGACCTGCTACGAGAGTTTGACCCGTACATGAGGCATGTGCTATCTCAAGTTGATGAACTACAGAAGGCGGCCGAGGAGGACATTTCTTCTATGAACTCGAGGCATAATTTGGTCATCCCTCAACACCTTAAGGTTCATTGATGGGAGGTGTAGGGGTGGGGGGGTGCTATGTAAGCTGTGAAGCAATGTTCTGTGAAGATTGTGTTGGTATGTGTCACCCCCCCTCACATGATGCGCATGTCCCCCTCACATGATGTGTATGTCCCCCCTCACATGATGTGTATGTCCCCACTCACATGATGTGTATGTCCCCACTCACATGTGTCACCCCCCCTCACATGATGTGTATGTCCCCCCTCACATGATGTGTATGTCCCCCCTCACATGTGTATGTCCCCCCTCACATGATGTGTATGTCCCCCCTCACATGATGTGTATGTCCCCCCTCACATGATGTGTATGTCCCCCCTCACATGATGTGTATGTCCCCCCTCACATGATGTGTATGTCCCCCTCACATGATGTGTATGTCCCCCCTCACATGATGCGACTATGTCCCCCCTCACATGATGTGTATGTCTCACACATTAGGATGGGTCTCCAGAACAGCCTCTAAGACCCATGGACAACCCTGCTGTGTGAGTTCAGTACAGCAACATAATTAAAGTATATTTGACTTCACCTGAGCCCCTGAAAAATCATCATAACTTTTTACCAAATGTAAATATGCTAACACGCTTGGAATCCTCGCACCTCTCACATTCTTGAGGTATCCTTCACTAACCATGTAACCTTATCAGTAGCTGTATATACACGTCCCATAAGTAAAGTATGTGGTGCCTGTATAAGCGGTTTACACAACCACGTGGGGGGCGCACTTCCGTGGCTCAGGTGAACACGAATAGCCTAATACTGAAATAAGCAACAAACTCCCTCTTCTTGTTGGGAACCATTGATCTATTAGCTGCTATAATTTCACACAATACTTCCCATACGGTAGACGTTCTTGTTGACGTGTATACTGTTACATGGTTGTAGCTATTAATTTGTACTTGTTGTTGACCTGTGCACATTGTTGTAACAGAGAGTCCGTTCTCTAGGACACGGCGTGCTCTATCTTTGCTCTGTATGAGTGATTCGGCCCAGCCAGCTGAGTTACCTCAGTAGCTCAGTTGGTAGAGCCCTCTCTAGAACACACCACACGCTCTGCCTTGCTCTATATGAGTGATTCAGCCCAGCCAGCTGAGCTGCCTCAGGAGCTCAGTTGGTAGAGCCCTCTCTAGAACACACCGCACGCTCTGCCTTGCTCTATATCAGGGTTCTGCCCAGGATTATTTTAGTGGTGGCCATTATGACTTTAGTCCTAGAATCATTGCGCGCGTAAATGCGCATGCGCGGAATTAACGCGTACGCGTGGTTTTGTTCGCGTTCGCACGTGCCTTTTTGTTTGCATGTTTATACTTAGTGTAGGCGCGCATATGAAGCGCAGATTCGTTCTTCGTGTGTTAGAAAGCCAAGTGTCATCTTAGAGCCGCAGGGAGGCCACGTTTCCATAGCAGATATTCATTAGATGCGTACTATACGGGCGGAAGGCACCAGCCCCGCCTTTTATTTAGGAGTGGTCGGGATACTTTCGGCGGTGGTCGGGTTCATACGGCGGTGGTCGCATGCGACCACCCCCGACCATCGTAGGCAGAACCATGCTATATGAGTGATTCAGCCCAGCCAGCTGAGCTGCCTCAGTAGCTCAGTTGGTAAAGCCTGCTCTAGTACCAAAACCATCAACCACCAATAATGTCATTGTCTACTATAATGCAGGGCCATAGAGTTGGAGGGATATCTCTTCAAGAGGTCCAGTGGTGCCTTCAAGTCGTGGAACAGACGGTGGTTTGTGCTCAGAAACAACCAACTCTGCTACCAGTCAGAGAAAACTGAGGTTAGACATCAAACTTACACTACTGTAATCTCTCCAGTAATCTTACCATCCTCACTAGTATTCTCTAGTATCTCTCCAGTAATCTTACTATCCTCACTGGTATTCTCTAGTAATCATACTATCTTCACTGGTATTCTCAAGTAATCTTACTACCCTCACTGGTGTTTCTAGTATTCTGCTATCTATCTCTAGTTTAGTAATCTTCCAGTAATCTCTCAGTAATCTCCCAGTAATCTCCCACAACAGGAGCTGGTGGTGGTAGTCGAAGACCTACGTATCTGTACATTCAAGATGGCCGAAGACCTTGAGAGGAGGTTCTGTTTTGAAGTGGTGACTCCGATGAGATCCAGCATGCTCCAGGCTGACTCGGAGGCTCTGAGGAAGACGTGGATGACTTACCTGGAGGGAGGGATTGCTAGGGCTCTCAGGATCTCTGCTAGTAACAAGGTGCGTGGGAGGAGAGAGAGGAGGAAGGAGGGAGGGTTTGGGGAAGCAGGAGGAGGGTTTGGGGAAGAGATAGGGGAGAGAGAGGGGAATTGAGGAAGGGAGTAAGGAGTGGAGTAAGGGAGGAGGGAGTGGGGAAGAGGGAGGTGCGAAAGAAAAGGGGAAATAAAAGGAGTGAGGGTAGGAGGGGAAATCTGAGGAAGCAATTTAAGTAAGTGTGTACAAAACCTAGAGTATTACAGTTGAACCTCCATACAAAGGACACATTCGGAACTGAGCCGCTGTCCTTCTTTTCGGAGTGTCTTGTTATTGGAGGTCTGACTGTATCCCCGACATAATGATTGACTATGTAGCTTCTGCTATAATGTCATTGTGTTTGTGTGCAGAAGAAGGATGAACACCATGAGCTGAGGGTCCGGACGGCCACACTGACTCGTGGGCGTTCCCCCACGCCAGAGCTCTCGGAGTCTCCCATCCTGGGGAAGAAGGCCGGGTCCCTGGCCTCTCTGTGAGCTACTTCTCTCTCTCCATAGTGGAACCTTCTCTACTTCTCTCTCTCTCTCCATAGTGGAACCTTCTCTACTTCTCTCTCTCTCCATAGTGGAACCTTCTCTACTTCTCTCTCTCTCCATAGTGGAACCTTCTCTACTTCTCTCTCTCTCCATAGTGGAACCTTCTCTACTTCTCTCTCTCTCCATAGTGGAACCTTCTCTACTTCTCTCTCTCTCTCTCCATAGTGGAACCTTCTCTACTTCTCTCTCTCTCAGTAGCAGCTCTGAGCACTTCTATACAATTGTTCATACTGTAGCTTGAAGTCGTTGCAAAGGCTAGTGACCTGACACAAGCTGCATGCCATGTCCTATGCGATGTAGATAGAGAGTCTTACCGTGTGACGCGAAGCAAAACGGTTGCGCTAACTATGGCAATGTCATTGGTGCATCCAACTTAAGAAAGTCAAAGATTATTAGTGTGCCTGATTGCTCGCGGATGGCCCGTCTCTTTCTAGTCATGTGGTGCTTTGGAACAATCACAGGTGTATTGCTACTGAGTTTCTGTATCACCTTCTCTTTCCATTCTCTTCTCAATTATCATTCTTCCTTTTTTCTATTCCCCATCGCTCGCTCCTCCAGCTATTCTCTGGGTCTAGACTTCCTGGACATACCAGGAAACGAGAGGTGTGCAGACTGCTGCAACTTGAACCCAAAGTGGGCGTCCATCAATCTTGGGATCATGCTCTGCATTGAGTGCTGTGGAATACACAGGTATATACAGTGTAATCACATATTTTGGGGTGCTATTATATATATATATAATATATATATATATATATAATTATATATATTATATATATATATATAATATATATATATATATTGCAGATTGCTAGTTTTGGAAGCTTCGATGCAATAAGATAATTCCGTTGGGATTGGGAAAATCAATTATTGATTTCCTGTTTTTGAAAGCCTGATAATATGCTGTGCTATTGATTTGCTCTCTGTGCAGAAATATGGGTGTCCACATCTCAAAGATTCGGTCCATCACTCTTGACGAATGGGAGCCCGAGATTCAAATGGTGAGAAAAAACAATAGTAGTAGGACTGTAAACTTTCTCCATTCTTTGGCCCATGCCTTCCTCTTCTTGTTCACAAGACATCAGGAATGGCCTGTGCCACACAACATTTCTCTCTCCTTTTCTGTGCCGTTTAACGTTTCCAAGTGTATAAGATTGGAATGTTAAGAAGCTAAGCGTACCAATATTTCTTTGAAGGATACGAAACTGATGTTTTTACTGTATGTCTCAATGAGTATTATATGTGTGAGTGTATGTATGTTGTTGCAGATCATGTGCCGACTAGGTAACAGTAAAGTGAATGCAATTCTGGAGTACGAGATACCAGAACATGTCAAGAAACCTTCACCCACCACTCCAAGGTCAGGCACAACTCAACGGTATGTCAATTGTGGCATCTTCAATGAAAAGCACTAAAGTTCAAACCCTCGGCTCGGACGGAAAACATGCTCATGTCGTTTGTAGATATGCATATAGCACATCTTATTAATGGGTTGTGCACGTCATACAATTGGTGCACTTGTAACCAACAAAGTTGTTCTGTTGAACAAGTATGTACATACGTTGTCCACGGTAGGTAATCTTTAAAGTGGCAAAGAGCAAAGCTGTATCACATAATGGTGTATAGTTCTTAAGTACATAGTATATACGAGTGGTGGTTCTACAGTGTCGGATACAGAATACAGAGGCATGCTGCTTAGTTGGCTTGGCACGCAAAGCTGCTTATTTGGTAGCATGATCCTCCCATTCATTCAATACTAACCATCACTGTCAACAAATACCCCCGTTCCCACAGGAGTGACACAGAGGCCTACATCCGAGCCAAGTACGTCCTCAATGCCTTCGTCCACCCCCACCCCGACTTTGCGAGGCCAGAGATCCCACTCGAGCAGCCGCAACCGAGTCTCCAGCAGCTCCTCTCCTCCACCCGAGAGAGACTGAACGATTCGCCGCGCTCCTCCCCTCGATCCTCCCCCGCAGCTGCCAAACGGATGATCAGCCCGTCAGGGATCAGGATGCGGGCGACTAAACCAAAGTCTTACCGCCCGCTCTCCCAGTCCGTTAGTTCTGGTCCAGAAATGCTGCAGTCTTTTGACTCGGACGATGACCTCCTGCGAGATTTCACTGCTTCCAACAACCCCAATAGCAGTGGTGCCACGTCGAGCATGGCCCTACTTGCCGAAAACTACCGGAAGCTGGAAAAAAGCGGGAAGCTGAAGAACTGGAACACTGCAAAGGTAAAACCGCCGCGCAACTATAAGTCGTCCTTCACGCAGCTGAGCGGCAAGTTCAGCAAGAGCTACCAGGCACTAAACCGCCGGTTTCGCTCCGATTCGACCAAATCTGCAAAATCGGCGGCGGAGCGTGACGCTCATAGCGACAGCGAAGACCCCGAGTCGGCCATCCTCTCCTAGAGACCAAGAGTGCTAGCAGCTACTTACCTCCTTCGAAACCTCCACGAACCTTCAAACAGAGAAAGCTAGACCTCACTGGGGATGGAGACGCTGAGAGTGCTCTCATCTACGCAGACGATGATTTCTCGGGCGACGTTCTTTCGGCCATCAAAGAAATGGGAGTCGTGGCCGTTCTCGGGAAGAAAGAGAGCAGCGAGAGAATCGAACGAGAGGTTCTCAAAATCGCTTCCGAACGGCGGAATCCAGGTCCTTGGGTCAAACAGTGGCGATTCCTCACCGCAGTCTTCTCCGACCTGTGACGGAGTGAGTCCCACACCTCCTCCTCTTCTCTCGCCTCGCACGGTGTCCCCACTCGCCAGCGAGCCCCCTGCACGAGCCTTCCCCCTCCCCCCAGCCCTGTCTCCGGTCCACGAAGGACTCACACAACAGCGCAAGGAGCCGCTTGTGCGAGAAGACTCTGTTTTTACCTCCGACATCCCTGTCTCTCCTGCTTCCACCGTTGACTCTCAACAGACAACCGTTTTTGAGGAATCGGTTGAAACACAAGAACTAAAGTCAAAACCGAGTACTACAAGTGGGTCCCAAGACGGACTCTACAGCAGATAAAGGTAGTGTGGACCCCAGGGTCTCTGTGCATACGGTCCCTATAATAGTGACCCAGGAAGAGAAATCTGCCGCTGCTGGGACTATTACCTCCGACGCAGCCTATCCATCAGCGGGGTATGTGGCATCGGAGAAACCGTTTGACAATAACGCAGATGATGGATTTACCGAGTTTCAGAGTGCTCCACTGGTAACACATCATCAGCGCGCAGAGTTGGTTCGTGCCGTCAGCGTGGACGACGGCTTACAGCAGGAGCAGAAGTCGTCCAACAAACGTGTTCCGCTCGGTCAAATTGCTGTGAGCCTGTCCTTCGACGAGAGCAAGCGAATGTCAATGATCTCTGTGGCCAGTGCCGACTACTACTCCATGGACGAGGCGGGCGAAGAAGACGAAGAGGAAGACAATAGCTCAAACTACTCTGCAGAGTTCCCAGAACTAGTGTGCACCGTGGATTACAGCGCTCCGGTGGACCCAAACCCCACCGAAGAAGAGCAGCACATCTTCTCCACTCCCCCCAGTTCTCCTCCGCTGTCCATCGAAGAGCTAAAACGAGAGAAAGAGAGACGAGTGAGGGGTAGTAGCTCGTCTGATCGTAGTACCAGCACCAGCCCTCGTCCCAAGTCCGCCAGTCCCCTGGGCCACCCGAGAAGGTCTGCGATAGAAAACCTGTTCAGAAGGAGCTGCAGCCCGCGACCGAAATCGGCCGGTACTACAAGCTCGTGCACTACGTCGTCGCGGGGTAGCGCGTATGAGGAGGTGGGAGAGGGTACGCTTGTACGTCATGGTCACTCTAGTGGCACTCCACAGGCTGGGAGCGCGTCTGACCCAAACACTTCTGAGAATAATCGAGATGAAGACAAAACAACCAAAGTGGACACAAAGGACACACCAAATAATGATTCTGAAGCCGTGGTAGCTGCAGATAATGCAAGTGTGGCCAGAGAGACGGATTCAGCAGAAACACCCAAACCAACCCCGACAGTTGAGGCTACGGAGGAAGGAGGAGAAGAAGAAGAAGAAGAGCAGTTTGATGAGTCCAACGAGATGTTTGAAGATGCCTCAGAGGACACCACGAGTCTGGAGGAATCCTGCGAGATGGCGGCCTCCTCAAGAAGCACTGTCTCTGTGGAGGACACGGAGAAGAAGAAGAAAGAGCCGCTGCGCAAGTCGCAGTCTGCCAACACGAGTCCAGATAGTACTCTCATCCACAAGAACACATCGTCTTCCTCGCTCACCCGCAGTGCAACTGATCTGGGGCTAAAGTCAAAGATAAAAGTCCTCCCTGGATTCCACACTCGCTCTCGATCCACGACACTCAGTTTGGGAAGGGGGCCGCGTCGAAGCCTGGAGGAGGCCCCAAACCGCTCCAAAGACGAAGACTACTTCATAAAGTTGATACGAAAAACTGACCCAGAGGCTACCGCCGCTAAAGTGACTGCGTTTTCCGATCAAGACTTTGCCGATATTCTGAGGAGCAGTCTGCGCGGGGGCAAGGTACCAATAGTGCGGGTCGAGAGTGCAGATGACAGGGACGACGCTAGTGCTAAGACGGCAAATGATGGTGGGAGGGAGGGAGAAGTGAAGGGAGAAGGAGGGAGTCAGATTTATCTGCAGGCGCCCCGTGACGACGATGGATCCCCTGAAACTGCCCCAGTGGTTCCTGAACCAGTGGAGGTCATTAAAATCCCTGAGGATGTTCCTCCTAACATGGTGAGCTTAACTAATTGCACGTGGCAAACCTATACAATTGTAATATGTAGATGCTCATGAATAATTAGTGAGTGGAAAATCACTCAAGGGAATTTGATAAAAGTTGTAAAAGTTTGCCAGCGCCAGCGATCGAGCCAGAGACCTTCAGTTCAACTTTGCTGTAAAATACACGCCATAGTGCTATCAAACCTTCCTGCCTCTGTTACGTACCATTAATGGTGACTTCTTTTTTTAAACCTGTTTTCTTATGTACCTTCTTCCTATACATTCTCTATATACCATGTTACTCCATTTTCACATATTCTCTCCATTCTTACCCGTCTTGTTTCCATACTTCAATCTTTGTTCGTCTCCTCCCTCCACTGCAGTATCTGTACCAGGGTGTATGTACAGATGACCTGGCCGCCATTCTGTGCGCCAAAGTCCACGGAGGTGACATCAACTTTGTCAATGTTGATGATGAGGGGAAAACCCCCATGCTGATTGCCATAGAAAAGGTATATACAATACATAATTATGTCGTAAACTCTTACAAATTGGACTCGTTTTTCAAGGGCAAAAGCGCATCATATAGGCACTATTCAGTGATATATGTATAGTCAAGATAATAATTAAGATATTAATTATACACTATTTAAAGGAAGGTGAATGCATGGCAATTAGGTTTATGTGCTAGTTTGTAGCCTGTTATCACTGGCCT